AAAAAAGAAAAAGGGGGGGGGGGGGGGGGGGGGGGGGGGGATCTTCCCTACGCCACACATTCTACCACCCCTCAAACAATGCATCTCTTTACCCCCACCGCAACCCCAACCCCCACCCCAACCCCAACCCCAAAATACGTCCACCAAGAAACACCTATAAATTTGGATCCCATTCTGATTCTATAGCAATAAAAAGGCTCCAAATTCTACTCAGTAATTCAGTGAGTTAAGTCAGTTTTTAGAGAACAAGAAATGGCAGGTCGTCCGTACAATACAGGCATTTTGTTGGTTATATCACTACTTGTATTGATTACATTATCCAACGTTGTTGAGGTAACAAATTTACTTTTCTTTTCTTTCAATTTCATTTATTCTCTTTCGTTTTCTTTAGAACTATAGTTTGTCACTATATCTAACATATTTTCTTGGATCTCTTTTGAATCATCGACAGGGATACAATAGACTTCATCCTCGAGGTATAAGAAATGCTACATATGATTGGATAAATTAACTTTTCATTTAATTTCTTGGTATTATCGAGTACCGTCGAACTCAAAAATGATGAAATTATTGTTCCAATATTGACGCAGATTGCAATCCAAGATGCACGTACCGTTGCTCAGCAACATCCCATAAGAAGCCATGCATGTTCTTCTGTCAAAAGTGCTGTGCGAAGTGCTTGTGTGTGCCACCAGGCACTTATGGCAATAAACAAACATGCCCTTGTTACAATAATTGGAAGACTAAGGAAGGCGGACCTAAATGCCCATAAATTAATTTATATTAAAAAAAAAACAAACAAAAACAAAAACAAAAACATTTCGTTTATTTATAATCTATATGATCGCTATATTTTTACTCAAATGGCAATAGAAGAACATGCCCTTTTGTTCAATTTGAAATGCCAAAAAGTGTAAGGAGAGATGTCCTACTCGAAATGAAGTTGTAGACGGATATTGAGAAATATGAGCAACTTATAATTTGAGGTAGTCTTATCTGATTTGCCTTTATATATAAGTGAATTATAATGTATTTGCAATGTGGTTGTCTTGTACTTGGAAATTGAAATTGAAACCAACCATCTACTCTCTCCATGCTTTTGTTACGCTTTATATGACTTGATGACATGACGAATGTCTTTATTGAACATTCCAATAAACTGGTCTTTACTCGTGTCTCCAATTTTTGATGACATTGAATAACAATTGAACTACGATAAATGGGGATTTTGTAAAAAATGTCATAAAACTTAAAACTACTTGTTTTTAAGAAATTAGATATGGAATTCGAACAACTTTTTTTGTTGATCATTATGTACAAAAAATGTTGGATTGATAGCAACAGTTCATTATTGAAAATGAAAATAAAAACCTTGGTACACAATCAATGATTATTGCCTGAAAGACAACAAAAGAACCCACTCACGGAAGGAGGGAAAAAAAAGTCTGCTAGAAAGTAATGACAAAAATTATATAATAAATATATTATTATAAACTAGAAAGAACAAGGGTGAGATGGCAATAGATTTGTATGTTTTATTAATAGCCACAACCTCATATTTATAGGGAGGAATTAGAGATGCAATGATAATAATTTTTAGAACCGTTGGGGTATAATTGACATTCATAAATGTAGTTATCATTTACAACGCTCTCCTTGAATGACATATTACAAAATATATGTCTCGTTGAAACATTGTCAGGAAAAAAATTCAACGAGACAAAAATGCTAACAAATGAAAAAAGAGTACAAATAATTTGGAGTAACAAAATGTTGTCTCATTAAAACTTTGTCAAGAAAATCTAGCGGAACAAAACGTGATTGAAGGAAAAAGAGTACGGCTACTCATATTGATTTCAATTCCTGTATCAAGCGATCTGTGTCTTGTATGTCAATGTCTTCAATATTAATATCATGTATGTTAATTTCTTTAAATAGCACCGTCTTCATACGAAAAATTTATCAACTGTTAATGACTGTAATAATATGATGATTCGAAAACAACTCTCGTTGATCTCTTCAGTAGTCTCATACATAGAAGAGTAATAAAATCTTGATCAAAGAAAAAATATTATAACACGTATTTACTCTCCATCATGATATTATCACTTGAATTATATGTTTCAAGCATATTAAACATTTCAAGGTAACGTTAATAGCCATGTCAGATGAGTAGGCTATAACCAAATTTATTATATGTATATCCAATTCCCCACATTTATAGAGTATTTTCAAGAAACTCTCTATTTTTAAAAAGCATGTTCTATCATTTAAAGAGCATCCATAAATTTATTGAGTTAAAATTTTAAAGTACTCCAACATAATATTTATGTTTAACACTTAATTATTCCCAAAAGTATTTATTATTTTTCTCTATCTCTTATTTTAACTTAAAGAGTCAAATCCACTCTCTAAATTAAAACGATAATTTAAGAAGTATCTTAGAGCATGATTTTAAATGTTAACTTTTAAAAAAGAGAATATCTCATATTTAAAGAATCTCTCAGAGATGTTCTTAAACTGATAAAAAATATTTGTGATTACATCCACACATAATAATTTATCTACTTTCACGAGTGATCACAAAATTCATTACATAAAAAGTTGTACATTTCATATTACGACTTTACTTTTTCTATTTTCATTTCACATAAGTATACACTTTTAGATTTTCAGACTGCAAGTCCAAAAACTTTAAGTTTCTTTAGTAAATTCAATTTTGGATTGCGTCTCTTTTTATTTTATCCAATCATTACTTCAATTGATATATTTCGACTCATTTATTTCAATTCTTTGCTATATAATGTTGTACATCTTGTACAAAATGTTGTCAAATACTTTTATCATAACTATTTCTTTTGTATAACGTCATAACTTGAAGATATATCTCAATTTTCAACATATCAGATACTTGAACATATCCCGAGGTTTTATAATTTGTTATGACTAAATACTTATTAATAATATATGATTCCTTAATGGGACTATCTTTACTAATTATTCCATTTTTGTTTGGAGATTTTTATATTATAATTGAAAACCATCTAGGGATGTCAATGAGTCGAAACTTGAGGCTCAGGTAAAATTAATGAGCTTTTTTCGGGCCTGAGCAGAGCAAAAAAATTAGGCTCAACTCGAGCTTTTGGCTTAGGCCTTTTCGGGCCGAGCCGAGCAAGCTCGATTTTGGTTTTGGTTTTGAATTTTTTGTTTAAGTTAAAAAACAAAAAAAAAAGAGCAGCACTAGGCTGCCTTTTAAAAGGCAGCGTGTTGCTACATTTAAATTATTACTGTTATTATTATTTTTTAAATATAGGCTAGTAAGCTCGAGCCAACGAGTTACATGAGCCGACTCAAGCTATGTCCGACACCCCCAAATGGGGCTCGACCCTAGCCTTGGCTTGGTTTTTCCAAGCGGACGAGCCTGATTGCCATTCCTATTACCATCACACTTCAATGTGTCATAAATATATCAAATATAATGCTAACAAATTGTCCTCATATTACATCAATTCGTGTTAAATCATTTAAAGCTAATGCGTGAGATATTATTGGTTTCTTTGGTCAATAAATGCACTAAATAAATTATCTTTCGAACATCTGGTTTGAATTATCTTTTACGAGAATAATGATGCATTTGTACATTATTTTCAACTTCTTAATTCCTCCTCTTAATGTTGAGAAAATTGTCTAATCAAATTAATAATCATTTTTACTTCGTTATAAAATATCACCTATTTGGGATAAGGGTTCAAGTTACAAATTTATTCTCAGCATTCTTTACTTTTCATCTCAATGTATTGAGTTGGATCAATTTTACGTGTACTGCACTATCAAAATAATTAGATGTAAGGCTCTAACTATAAGCCAAATATAATAGGGAGAATTATGATATTGACATGGTGCGTAATAGCATCCCCTAAACAGAAATAAAAAGTATTTTGTTTTCAATTAAATTAATATGAAGCATTTAACAAGCAATAATGTTAAGCCATTTATCGACATTCCATCTGACATTTATTAAAAGATGGAGATTTAGGGTCACTTGCATTAACAAGACAAATCGTCTTGACTGTATAATCCAAAAATTATGCTCGCAATTTAAACTTTGAGCAATAACTTCGTAAATTTCATATTGCAAACATCATAAAAATCATCTATTATATGTATCAAATTCATTAGATACAAATTATATCTAGATGTTCAATATGATGATGGGCACTATTTATCGCTCTAATTAATTTTAGAAATATAAGTAATTCAGTCCAATAAAGAGAACAAATAATATATAGGAATTTTTTGGATTGAAGAATCTTTTGGTTCTTTGTTGAATATCCATTTGAATTTTTAAATTCATATTATTATTGATTTAGTGATGGTCTAACTAGTCATACCAAATAATAAAATCAAATTTAATTTCTGGTTCAATATAGTATTTATTTTAATTGTACCACACATTTTAGAAACTTAGCATGTTTTTCTTTAATTTAGTAAAGAAAAATTACTATGAATAGTAAAAAATTTATTCTCCTATATGACACAATATTGACTTTTCTATAATATCAAAACAATATTCTTTTGAAATATTACTATAGACGTAAAAGAAAATTAAAATTAAAGAAAATGGATTTGGCCGATTTAAATCATTAGCTCAATTAAATTAAAGTTTACTAAAGTTCATAAACTCGAAGGCCCATCTCACTCTTTAAATAAATAAATGAATAAACAAATAATAAATAATCATATCTTCAAGTGAGAGAGAGGATAGAAAAACCATCACCCAAAGGTGCTTTTTGAAAACCGGTCACCGTTGGCTCAAAACGGGAGTTACATTTGTAACTTAATGTTATGTTCACGCGGTGATATTCTATCTTTCCAACTCTGAAATCAAGTGGATTTATTTTTTGTCCCCCAAGGAAAATATCGAATGGACCCCAGGGTTCCAATGAATTTGAAAGAATTGAACGAGGAGCTGTATAAGATGAAAATCTCATGTGTAGTTCTGTAGAGTGACAGTAAGGGTGACTTATATGTCAACTCAGATGCGCGGCTGCATGCAATAGGATTACTCAATTATTAATTTGTAGTTAAATATAACTGAGTGATTATCAAAATTAGCACAAATTTTCTTCTATAGTTAGGACCAATCGTCCATAAGACACGGATAAAAAAAAAAAAAAAAAAAAAAAAAAAAAAAAAAAAAAAAAAAAAAAAGGCAACAAAAAAAAAAAAAAAAAAAAAAAAGCAAGCAAGAAGAAGAGAAAGCAAAGAAGGCAACCATGAAATACTGAAGAAATTCTCTCAAACTTAAACTCGATGAACCCCAACAGGATCAAAATCTTCTTCGAATCAAACATATTCGCATCAAGTCCAAGAAGATTAAAGTTTTCTTCATATCAAATCGAATTCAAGTTCAAGTTTAAGTTCAAGTCCCGAAATTCAAGTACAGAACGAGTCAAGTCTTAACAAATTAAATTTTCAACAAGTTCTCCAAGACCAGTATTTAAGCCACGTGGCCCCTCGTTTTCAAACATTCAGATCATTAATCAGATGATTTTCACAATGTTGCAATTACAACAAGGTCAAGATCACTTGTATTTCTCAAAAACATAACTTTTAATGATTTCTGTATTTTAATACATGAAATTCGTCATATAATTACTATATACTTGATTATGATTCCTCACAAGTAATTTATCAATATTTTTTAGAAATGTTGATATATTTAAATTAATCATAATATTCTTTTAAAATAGTACTATGTATAACTTGTGCTTCTCGAAGAACACAATACGATATTTTTTATGAATACTAATGTATATTATTTTTATTTTTTTGGAATAGCATATCAATATTATTCTAAAATATTGAAATTGTACTAATATACTCTTCATAAGTAGACAATTCTTTTTGAAACATTTATATAAGGTTAGTTGTGTTTCTTCTAGACCATCAATACCGTATTCATTTAGTACAAATATAACATATAATTGTATTTCTTCAGGAGTAAAAATTAAATAAAAAATATTTATCTACTCTAAAAACTAAAAACATATAACATGGACAGAAAATTTTTGAAAA